TGATTCAACTCGCTCCATTTAACGGTCACCTAAAAATAAAATTAATTCCAAAATCCCTCAAAAACCGCAATTTTTCAAATAAAAGTGCCCTCTCCGGTGCACGTGGCGCGTGCTATCCTCTGCATTGCACACCATTCAATAGCCCGTTCAATTCTGTACACGATGCTGTTTTCCCCGTGCCGGTCGGATCCCTGGTCACCAAGATATTGCACGGGAACTGGACCCGTGTCGGCCAAAATTAGCCATTTTCGCCCGATTTCGCACGCCGATTTATACATGTAAAGTCTATGACGCGAATTTGCACTTTTTGAGCACGCACCACGCGCTCCCTATCGACCCGATCGAGCTGAGACCCCTCAAAGGCACGTCGCGCATCCTTGATCTAAGAGTTGTGCAAATTTCACCGGGCTAGGTGCAACGGTCTGGCCTGCAGTCCACGCAAAGCACCACCAAGTCGGGACCTCGGTAACGGACAGACGCACCCTCCTCAAATAGTAATATAGATTGAGACTCGACATCACCGTGCGTTATTCCCAGTTTAATCCTACACAGTGATTCAGGCTGTCTTCCTCTCCTCTCGGAGGCCCATCCAGTCGCCACCCTCACCGTCCCACCTCTGACCTCGCTAATCCAGGGTTATCCGACCCCGCTGCGGTATTGGCACTCTGAATGCCGCGATCCGGTACCATTGATCTGGTTACTAAAACAGTGTGCCCACTGAGTGGGCGGTGGCCAACTGCACTGTGCCTGACTCAGAACAGGTGGTACCGCGCTCTGGGACCGGGCTCGGATCAGAGTCACTATTCCGGAGCGCTCACAGCCGCAGCCGCTGGCGGGATCCGTGGGTCGACCTGGTGTGCCGTGATGTAAGACGACCTGCTGAACTCACAGCGTGGATCAGTGGTAAAACAGACAGCGCGCTCCTCATTGGTGATACGCCCGGGCGAAGCAGTCCCTTTGCTGTCCTTCGGTCATATTACCCTCAATAAAGCTAGTGTGTCTGTTTAAACTGGGAAAGGTTGGTTTGAACGGTGCAAAATCGTATTTAAATCAGCCGAAAATAATATTTGATTGATAAATGCTTCAGTGTTCAGCTTCCCCCATCGGCGTGTCTCCATTTATCATTGATATCAATGGAAATGAAAGCTACAAAAAGTAAATTTATGTGACGCCCGATAAGACTGGTGGATGGCAGACATGTGACATCGTGAGCGACGATGCTAGTCATTTGGGGAGAATAGGGGACACTTTCGTCTGATTTCATTATGTGACCTTTGCAATTAGGAGACGGCTATTCGGTTATTAGCCACTTAGCCTGTCACGTTTATTTGTCTATCATATGCCTTTGACTGTGTTTTACGATTTATGGATGTTATCAAACGAAAAAATAGTCACTTTTCGTAAGTTGTACTTCGTGTCCGCACTGGATGCCCAAAGCAAGACCTAAGAGGTATAAATAAACTAGGTAAGTATCTGCGTACATTGTTTCCCATTATCCCTCGCACGACCAGGCCATTTCTCATAACACGAACGACCAGGGGGGGGGTTGTTACGACCCCCCCCCCCTGGCGTTTCGAAACGGAAGGTTGTAGAGCTTAGCGGAAAAAACCAACGGATTGCTCTCAACGAGATCTCGCGATTGGTTGTATATTTTTTGGTCCTAGGTCAACATTTGACCTACTTATGACCGGTCAAAGGTCAAATTTTCCGAAAAAATCAAACTTTTTCAACTTTGCGCAACGATTGCGGCAAAACGGTGAGAGATATTAACTTCAAACCTTCAACAACGTATTCCCCACTCAATTCTGCATCATATATGGTGTTTTTGGTGTATTTACCCTATAAAAGTAAGAGGCCTATTGCTGATGAGTGATATGGTGTCACATCACCCTCCGGTGTTTGTCCCGATTCGTCGGCTGTTGACCACTGCTCCGCTATAAATACTGTAGGTAACGACTCAGAAAAGATATGTGGATATCCACTGCAATGTGGATAGCATCAGCAGAAAACCTCGGGACTCGGTACACACTTCGTGAAAATCCGGCCGGAGGCTGTACCTCTTATGAGGTCATAACTCCGTGACCTGACCTGACCCGGTCAATTTTCTTGCACCACACAATAGCCAATGCTTGCCCCAACATGCATGGAAAGTTTCATCATGATCCATCAAACAATGTGGGTATCACCGGCAGAAAACCTAGGGATTCGGCGCACACGTTTGGTAACTGTCGGCCGGAGGCTGTACCTCTTATGACGTCATAACTCCGTGACCTGACATGACCCGATCAATTTTTTTTCGGCAAAAGATGCGCAAAGGTTGCCCCAGAGGGTATTGAAAATTTCAGCCCGCTACGACAAGCCGTTTAGCGTGCACTTCGAAAAAACCTCAGGGGGGGGTGATACAACCCCCCCCCTAGGCGTTCTAGGGTTATACCTTGGAGTGCCCTCCCTCCCTGGTGTCCTGAGATGGTTTTACACGGGATCCCAGCGACATTACATAATGCACGTCCAAGGTCGCACACCGGATGGGACAGGCCGGTGTCATGACGGCGGGGCACGAACAGGTCACGACTCATGCACCGCGTGTGTTCCCGCGGCTGCCGGCCGGGCACGCGACGCCGCGAGCGCGGCACCTCGGTGGCGTGTCGCCGGTCCGTCCGTCACGAGGGTGACGCCGTCACCGGCCGTTCAGAGGGATTAGCCCGGTAATTGAGCGCATTAGGGAGCCTTCCCAGGAGCACGGCGACACTCTGTCTAGGCGAGGGCGCGTAAATTACGTAATAGAACAGACTACTGTCGCCGGTGATAAATAGCTGAATAGATTTGTTCGCGAAGCTAATGCGCCCATCACATGTTTCCTTATCAATCATGTAGAGGACGCTGATGACCCTTTATTGAATAACATGTCTGGATCAATGTCTCCGTCGCCCAAACGTCCTCGACCTCCGCGTATCTACTAGGGTTGACTATTAAGTAATGGAAGTGCCTTAAGCAATTAAACGGGTTTGCACGTGCACACATTATTTAGGTGTCATTTCATGCGCCGATCTTTTTTCTATCCAATGGTGAAGACCACATGTCCCTAGCTACTTTTTGCTATAAGCTATCGTCGTTTTCCCAAGAGACCTCCCGAACCTGTGGCGCACCACCTGGCAATGGCCAAAGCCGCGCGCCAGCGACGAGTGCAAGGTCATTAGAGCTCAGTTTGTCGTAGGGAAAAGGCCTACCAATATCAGAATTTTCTTTTTCTAAGTGTATGGAGCGACGCAGCCTCCCCACAGACGATATGTCGGTGGTTTCATCGGTTTGAGAAAGAAAACGCCAATCAGTCTTCTGGCGGCGTTCCAGGAGTGGGTCAAGACGAGGCTGGAATTGTGTGTGATGCTTGAAGGCGATTATGTGGAGTAGTGTATGCTGTCATTTATCGTGCCAATGTGTATTGTTTTGATGAAAATATAGAAATTGTCCATTGTGTAGCCATAACAATAAGCCAATAAGCTCTGATGACCTCGCGCTGGCGCTTGGCGCGCGATTTTGGCCATTGCCAGACTCCTTTTTCATGGTGCGCCGCAGGTTCGGGTGGTCTCTTGGGAAAACGACGATAGCTTGGAGCAAGAAGTAGCTAAGGACATGTGGTCTTCACCATTGGATAGAAAAAACATCGGCGCGTGAAATGACACCAAGAAAACATGTGCACGTGCAAAAACGTTTAATTGCTTAAGGCACTTCCATTACTTAATAGTCAACCCTAGTAATGTAGGTGTATATCCGACGATCCGTAGACAATTTTTGCGTTAATGTTGTAAGGAACGATTTTATTGCGCGTAACACGCATGTGCTTTATGAAAGTGGCAATGTTGTTCCTGTAAAACATCAGAGAAAAAAGATCCTACAAACGTGAAAGAAAAACGAAAAACTTCATATACCTGGTTTCGCTTGATAATTTTTGAACAATCAACAAGTGACAATTATTGGCAGTTAACGTTCGGGATTATGCTAGCATTGTTGGGTTATGCTCACTCTGCTTTCTTTCAGGTGTAATGAGTGAAGTACGCGGTCCGTGAATGCTGCTCGTCTGCGTATATTGTCACCCCGTTGATAATCTATCTCCCTCTACCCCAGGAGCTGTGCTGGGGGCCGTGGACGTTCGTCACGGAGCTGCAGTCTCTCACCCAACCCTCTGTCCTCTAGGAGCTGTGCTGGGGGCCGTGGACGTTCGTCACGGAACTGCAGCCTCTGACCTGACTCCCTGTCTTCTAGGAGCTGTGCTGGGGGCCGTGGACGTTCGTCACGGAGCTGCAGTCTCTGACCTGACTCCCTGTCCTTGGAGCTGTGCTGGGGGCCGTGGACGTTCGTCACGGAGCTGCAGTCTCTGACCTGACTCCCTGTCCTTGGAGCTGTGCTGGGGGCCTTGGACGTTTGTCACGGAGCTGCAGTCTCTCACCCAACCCTCTGTCCTTCAGGAGCTGTGCTGGGGGCCGTGGACGTTTGTCACGGAACTGCAGCCTCTGACCTGACTCCCTGTCTTCTAGGAGCTGTGCTGGGGGCCGTGGACGTTCGTCACGGAGCTGCAGTCTCTGACCTGACTCCCTGTCTTCTGGGAGCTGTGCTGGGGGCCGTGGACGTTCGTCACGGAGCTGCAGTCTCTCACCTGACTCCCTGTCCTTCAGGAGCTGTGCTGGGGGCCGTGGACGTTCGTCACGGAGCTGCAGTCTCTGACCTGACTCCCTGTCTTCTGGGAGCTGTGCTGGGGGCCGTGGACGTTCGTCACGGAGCTGCAGTCTCTGACCTGACTCCCTGTCCTTGGAGCTGTGCTGGGGGCCGTGGACGTTCGTCACGGAGCTGCAGTCTCTGACCTGACTCCCTGTCTTCTGGGAGCTGTGCTGGGGGCCGTGGACGTTCGTCACGGAGCTGCAGTCTCTGACCTGACTCCCTGTCCTTGGAGCTGTGCTGGGGACGTAACGGAGCAGCAGTCTCTCACCTAGCTCCCTGTTCTTCAGGAGCTGTGCTGGGGGCCGTGGACGTTCGTTACGGAGCTGCAGTGGTTCAGCGACCTGCCGACTGGCGACCAGCCACCGCTGCTGCTCGACTTTGGCTCTGCTCAGCAGACGGCCTGCACCCAGCCGACATACCGGTTTGACCTGGCGCCGGTCAGGAACAAATGTCAGTTCACACCGACATCGGGCGGTGTTCAGATAAACGGTCACTTTGGTATTAAACTATAAGTTAAATTTGTGTTAACCCTCGCCGGACCTATTGGTTTTCTACATACGCGCCGGCCGAGGGGGGGGGGGGCGGGTACGACCCCCCCTCGCCGTTTCGCCCCTGGTGGAGCTAGCGCGTCGCGGAAAAAACGAGCGTGTGCGCCGTTACGAGACGCAGAGATTGGTACCCGATTTTAAGGTCCTAGGTCAACCGGTGACTTCTGAGGTCAGGTCAAGTGCCCCAAGGTACGGTTCAGTTTTTGGTGAATAACTTCGCAAAAAACGGCCGCAGAGCGCCGATTTTGGCAGCATCGTGTTCGTCTCGCTCAGGCGCGTCGAATGATATACTTTTTGTCCGGGTCAGGTCAACTTGAGGTGTTGACCTCAGGTCAAGGTCAGGTCAGCACCCCCAGGTCACGAAGTTGGTCATGTCGCATATCATTCGATTCGGCAGGTCTTCCTGAGTCCATTGGTGGCTTTCCCGGCTCGCTAGCTCAATTTGATCAAGAGTTATTGACGAAAAACTAATATGACCTTGATGACGTCATAAATGACGTCACGCAAGGTCAACTTTGCAAAAGTGACGCATCTAACCTTGCAAGGAGTGCATAAAATCACGATTCTGTGTGCTTGAGATAGTTGGAGATCGTTCCCGGCGCCAGAATAGCAGTTTGAATTTTTCCCCATTGACTTATAATGGTGAGGTCACGAAAATGACCTGACCTCATATGACCTTTAGGAAAAATCCGAGATATACAAGTTGTGAGACTCATAATGGATACTAGATCCTGCAAGTTTCATTTCCCTGTGACATCTCCTCTGGCAGTGAGGGCGTTGCGAAGTTGCGACATCTGAAGACCGTGCAGAGGTTCACTTATGACGTCATAGGTCAGTGACCTGACCTGACCCAAAAATGCGGTTGGTGTCAAAAGATGCGGCTTGGATCAAAGATCAGGTATGCCAAGTTTCAGCTCTCTATCGCCAGCGTGTTCGGAGCTATCGCGAAAAAACCCTATGGGGGGGCGGCACCCGCCCCCCCCCCCCTCGGCCGGCGAGGGTTAAGTGTAAAAGTCATCTACGAAAGGAACCAATAAAAAACAAAGCTGGTAACTATTACACAAGGAAGTAAAACTCAATTCGTTTAAGGAAATGTCATAAAAAATAGCATTACCCAGGGATACTGGGTCGGTCAGCCACCCCGCTGTCTGGCTCAGCCACCCCGCTGTCTGGCTCAGCCACCCCGCTGTATGACTCAGCCACCCCGCTGTGTATATGGCTCAGCCAACCCGCTGTCTGGCTCAGCAGCCCCGCTATATATAAGGCTCAGCAGCCCCGCTGTCTGGCTCAGCAGCCCTCGTCTCCGGCAGACTGGACGCCGTCACGTGACTCGCTGACCTCTGGAGGGTCATGGATGGAGGTCACCAACGTGACCCGCACTGGCGCCGACCACCGCTTCGTGGTGAAGGTCTCCTGCCGGCTCCCTGACAGCGAAACAGGTGAGGTGTCAGGACCAGCGGCACAGCGGGGGGCAGCGTCGGATCAGTGGGGAACTGGGAGCCATGTGATGGGGTCAGATCTGGAGAGGAAACACAGTCTCAGTGGTAAAAATGAAGCATATAATTGCAAAAAAATCTTAGTGATGACAATTTGCATTCTGAACTAAATGTGAGAAACGTACCTGTTGGCCTTTAAACGAGCTCGTATGCTTGTACGAATGCAAAGAATAGGGGAATGGCTGAGTGATGAGGACTCGATGATAATTCTGTTATCACAGCTACTGAATAACCTGACAAGCGCAAGCAAACAAAGGTCATTTGAAACTCAATGCTACAACACGAAATCTGTGTGCAAAAAAAGCAGGACACTGAGGCGCCTGAAGTAGGGCTATAAATGGCCTGTTTCGTCGGAAGTTTTTCATTATTCGATGTTTGCCCGAGGCAAGAACGAACCCGAAATACCAGCATTCCAGTAGCGTTTCGTGTCTCCGTGTTGACTTATCGGCTACAAAGTGGATTACAGTTGTTTGATTCAGTAAATGTGATGCTAACCAGGCTGGTGCTCCTCTGTACACATCGCTGCCACTCCATGGTGACAGTAGTTGGCGTTTGTCGTGTGAATATTGCAGTGGTTTGGTACTACCCTCCTGCCTGTCGGACACTACCCTCCCCTCCCCATCCCCCGAGGGTCGTCCACGCTTCAGCCGCGCTGCGCTGAGCTGCTGGACTAGCCTCTATGTGGCAGCGTGAAGTGACGTGTCCAGTGTCTCGGTTATATCTTCTTTTGACTGTCTGAATCATATTCTAAATCCTGCTTTTCTCAATTTCTCAGTCCACGGTCTACCGCAACATACCCAGTGTGTCTCCCTTGTGAGCTAGTCGCGAACTGAGCCGGAGCTTGTGTGAGGTGTTCACACTGTCTCCCTGCTGTCGTCGCCCACAGAGCTGCGGAAGAAGCTGACGGTGAACGTGCTGGATAGAAACGACCACGCGCCGCGGGTGTACCACGAGGGCGAGCACGTGCATGACGTCTACCTCTGCGGCCAGCTCGAGGTCAAGAAGGTGGGTCACACGAGCGAACCGAGCGGCGCCAGCTGTGCTGCGGCCTGGTACGGGGACCCGCAGTTGCTACTGTACAGCGACCCTGAGTAAATTGTCCCAGCACCCTCACAGGGAACAACGATAAGCTGTCAGAGGGCACGCACAGAAAACCTCAGCTGCTCTTGTACAGGGACCGGCAGTCGATATCAATGTTATCGGTCATTACTGGACAGGACAGACGGCTAGAGTTGGGGTTCGTATACAGTAGCAACTGCGGGTTCCTGGTACACATAACATCACGGACAACACTCTGAGGAGGCTTACAAATGAATTGTATTGGTATTAAATACCAACGGGCCTGTTGGATGCATCGCGGTAGTGTATCGAGAGCAGCCCGTTACTAGCGACAGGGCCCCTGAGCTGCGAGTCAAACTGGTCGGTGGCTTGTTTCACTGAATGGCCGGTCGACATTTCACGAAAGGAGCCCGTCCCTCAAAACAGACGCTCGTCGAAATGTAACCATGCGACGACGCCTCAGCACAGAAAACGCTTCGATTGCGCTTATCCGACCATCTTTGTGATATTTCAGATGTGTTTTTAGCTCCATATCTTGATGACATTTCCAAAGAATAACACAAATGTTCTGGTAAATATGTGCTCAAGATCCATTTCAAAAATTGTGGTGAGGTCAGAGGAATTCACGGTACTCCAAATATTCCATGAAGGTGCAGCAATCGATATGCCGACTCGCTAGAACAGTTCAGCTGTCTCAACTTTTGATCCCTTGTCTTGCGCAGTCAGTAATTCGTAAAGAAACACTCAGATTTAAAGACGTATTATATGCATGAATGGCTGCCGTAAACACGAATGGTTTCTGATTATATTTGATTCCATTTACTGTCAGAGCCGTGGTTAATTAGACACGTTTGTTTGTGCTTCAATAGCATTCCCGCACTGGAATATTACTATCATTAGATACATTGAATCTGTTATCCCGAAGGTTGCAACTTGAACGACAAAGTTGTAAGAATAAATACTTCTCTGCGATTCGATTTCTTGCAAGGTCTGCAGTACACAGCACAGTTATTCTTTTCATTGGTATTACCTATTTCTTTTCTGTCGTTTTCCCGGCTGTTATTATCTGCGGGATGTGCTGCAAAGTTTTAAAGTGGTGCCAATAAGTCGCTTCGGTGTGTGCTTGTCTGAACAAGAAAATTGAAGAAAGGGGGAAAATCTTACAAAACTTTATTGATGTCCTGGATAGCACTATAAGTACAGTGGAGCAGACTTAGGTGAGATTCTTTCGATCAAAACTATGGATAATGTAAATGGTTATTGGAATGTATCGGAATAAGATGCATGTAATTTGGGAACGGTATTTATTGGACGGAAATAAAGCGCAATTTGGATGAGCCGGTAGATCCTGAAAGGGCCTGTGCTGTCCTGTGCCGTGATCCACTGTTATGCGAGCCTCGGACTGTGCTGCGCTGTGCTGTGTTGTGCTGCCACTGCACTGTTCCGGGCCCTTTTGTGATGTGCCCCGCCGAGCTGGACTCTGCTCTGAGGTTCTTAGCTCTGTCCGCCTGACTCCCGGATTTTAAACCTCCCCGACTCCCTGACTCCCGGATTTGAAACCTCCCCGAGTCCCTGACTCCCGGATTTGAAACCTCCCCGACTCCCTGACTCCCGGATTCAAATCCGCCCTGACTGCCGGATTTGAAGCCTCCGATATGCCCGAGGAATATGAAAGATGCTCCGGGGCGGCCTTATCCAGTATAGCTGCTCATAATAACCAATTGGCCTGGCACTGTTCCACACCGACTGCTTTGTTCATTTGACAGAGGAGGCATTGATGGATCCGTGGGAGATCCAGACTAAATCGAGGAGAGGAGCCTGAGCCGGCTGCCAAATTGCTCGAAGGCAATGACAGAGCGAGAATTGTTACCACTTGAATAATTTCAATTCAATGAAACATGTGACGTGCGCAGGTTCGTAATTTCGTTTTCACAATGGCACGTGCATTAGAACTGACAGAGCGGCAAATGCCAACTGAGCAATTACATTTAGATGAATGGCACCGCGTGCTGCTAATTTTGGTATGACAGCGAAATGGTCAAGGAGCTTGTTTCATTCCTGACTCGTCCCATCTGAGCTAAATATGTCCGATCATACATGACATTTGTGTGATGCGTGGGCTGATCCTGTATAATACTTCTGTAACAAATTAAACATTCTGAATAGCATTATTATGTGGCGAACAAACGGAGCATATTGTTTAATACTTAACTCAACTTAAATATTTAGAGCTGAGCCTTCTGAAATGTGATTACGTTACTTCGTAAGTGCAAATCGGAATTATGTGGTGCTCTACCGTGATTTTTCTTTTCTGCTTACGGTAGGAAACGAATAATTGCTCCCATTTTTCGACCCTCAATGCGATAAACCCTGGTGAAGCAATGCTAGTTTTTTCCTCTGTCTTTAGCAAAAACGATTTTTGATGAAATATAATTATCTACAATACACAAATGAAGAGCATATTGAAAGACGAGCAACACGTTGCATGGATTTCGCATCACTGGTAGAGCAGCAAAGGAGCATAAGCTGACCCCGAGTGTCCCCCATTGTCCCCCCAAGCCTGAAACTTTTGTTTAGGTACCCATCACAGTGATTATCACCAAATTGATAAGTGAGTAACTATTATATGGTGCTCATGTAAAATATCTGCTCTTCCAACTCTGTCAGACGTTGCAAGAGGTGTATTTGAAAAAGCATTGCTGCTGTTTGCCTGAAACATATTTTTGACGATTTGGTACCGAACTTATTGGCATGCACTTTCGATTTGTTTCATTGTTATTTTGCCGCTTTGGTGTTCCATATTGACCTCCAAAAGCCGCTGTGATTTGGCTATTTTACGGCATAACGTCAAGTTTATCGTGGACGCACTCTTTTCCCCACCACCCGTGTCCCCGCCCCGTGTCGCTCGGAGTTCCGTGACGTCTTCAGGTCATTATACCAGACTCCGTCATTGCTATTCCCTTTGTTATAAATTAATGGTCTGTTCTCTTGCGCTGCGTGGGCCGGCCCGACGACAGCGGCGGAGATCGGGCTTTACCAACTTGTAATGCAATCAGCTCAGCCGGATGTTGATATATGCCTTAGAGTGTTCATTAGAGTGAACTTAACGCTCTCAAATAGAGGAAGGTTAATGACGAGTGCGTATTGCGTACCGTCTCGGATGATAAAAGCAGACCTCTCTGCATTCATCTGTCGGCGTTTTTACATTTATCACACGCAATATAACCTGCAAATCCCGCTCTCGAGTTCCGCCCGAAGTAAATCTCCTCCTCAGGCATAATGTGCGCCCACGTCGTCTGTAAGGCTCGCTCATGATTTGACGCGAAGCCCGCCAACACGTCTCGTTATATTGAATCCGGTCACGGCTAAGCCGCGGCCAACTGATGAGCGACATTAATCTAAATCCGTCACCGTTCTCCACTGAATTTCCCGGGGAGCAGCTGGGCAGAGTGCGCCCGCCGGCATCTGTAAGGTGGGAGTCGGCCCATACGGGGCAGGGACGGGCTGACCGACCGACCGGATGTCGCCGAGGGGGATGGGGGGTCTCAGACCTGTTCAGCCGTGGAATCGCTCCGCGGCCCGGCCGGCCAAACTCGGGCGGAAACGGGACCGGCACGGCGGCTGCTGGGCGGGTGCGGGCCGAAACATCCGCTCTAACAGTCAAGGTAACTGACTCTAGCTGGTCTGTTCAGCTTACCTACAACATCATTGTCAAATTTGCAACGAATGATGGAGCTTATCATCAACAAACAGCTCATATATTTATCACATTTTTGTCGCATAAAAACAAAGAAGGATCCATATATCCCATCTAATATATTCGTCCGTTATGCCACTCGCGGGAGTCAGGACCGATCTCGTCCTCATCCTGGGTCACACCCCCCTGTCACAGAAGAGTTTGGTCCATCAGGGACTGAATGAGGAGTGTGGGCTGATGTGATCCGTCCCCACCCACGACACCCGGCGAGAGGAGTTTCAACAGAACTACTGGTCCCTCCGGGATGACTGCTTGAGCAGCTGGGCAGACTGTCGCACCAGGGAGCACCTTTCTCAACGGGATAAGCTCAGTCGCTGCGAGTTGCGACGTCCTTCAGCTCGTGATGATTCAGTCAAATGCTTTCTTTGTCTTTCCTCATACCCCACAGCAGAGCTGTGAAGTGAAAATGCATCATATCACTGAACCATAATCAACAACCAATTCGTCCCACGTCACCGACCGCATCTGCCCCACCTCTCTGACCCGTCTTCCCCACGTCAGCGGCAGAGTCCGGTGACGGCCGGCGCGGCGGTCGGCTGATGCGATGAATCCCCGGCGGCCGCTCCGTCGGCTCGTTTCTGATTGATGAGCCCGCTGATGGCTGTTGTTGCGGACGGCGCTGTTGTCGCTCAGCGGTTTTATCGGCCGAAGATGCCGGCTTTACGTCGGTGGACCGCCGGTTTTACGTCATTGGACAGGGACTGGGCCGGGGTCGGAGCTGAGCTGCCGGGCGGGTCGGCCATCCACGGTCGGACTGCAGCGCTCTGCAGCGACCCGGGGACGTCCGGTGATCATTGGTCCGGGAGGGCGGTGCTGACTCCGAGTCGAGTCAGACGGGCCGGGCCGATCAGCGCGATAAACAAAACGTCCTGATACTGAGCGGCCGGCCCCGGGGCGCGAGCTGCACTGGGAGAGAGAGGCCGGGGAATCGAGCGGCATCACTGACTGTTTGGGAGGGTTTTCTTCTGGGACCAGTCAGCTTGTCAGCCTAACAGATGAGTCAGCTCGCCTCTCTCTCTCTCTCTCTCTCTCTCTCTCTCTCTCTCTCTCTCTCTCTCTCTCTCTCTCTCTCTCTCTCTCTCTCTCTCTCTCTCTCTCTCTCTCTCTCTCCGTGCATCGGTTTATCTGACCTGTCCTAACACCTGTCTGTCCCTCCCTTGCTCTGCCCCCAGTACCCCCTCTGCCCGGGGTCACTCTGCCCACTGCCACCGACAGGTCTCCCTGACTACCCCATCCCCATCCCCCTGGGTGGCGGGGAGGGACAAATACACCGGCTCTCCTGTATCCGAGGCCGGCTCCGTCCGTAAACAGCCGGGTCATATCGAGTGTCACCGCCTGGCCCAGAACCCCCCCCCCCCCCCCCCTCCACCACCTCTCCCCCGACAGCCGCGGCCGATTGGTAGTGGCGAATGGCTATGCTGGGAGTGAAGTTGAACGTCGGGGCGCTCCCAGCACTGCTTCTGAGCCGATCGGGTTGGACTATGTGACCCTGATCGAGGTATGGGCGGGGCGTTTCGGTCTGTTCGTCTGACTGGATTTCCACAGCTGGTGATAGTTTGAGGCCCAAACCACAGCCTGTCGCCGGTTACTCAGCGTTGCAGTTGGCTGTATGTCAGGGACGTATCATTGCAGACTGCAGAGCCCATGTACCAGCGGCTGTGAGTTGAAGGCGGGCCCCGGTCCCGGTGTTATAACCCTCGCCGGACCTATTAGTTTTCTACATACGCGCCGGCCGAGGGGGGGGGTATGACCCCCCCTCGCCGTTTCGTCCCTGGTAGAGCTAGCGCGTCGCGGAAAAAACGAGCGTGTGCGCCGTTACGAAACGCAGAGATTGGTACCCGATTTTAAAGTCCTAGGTCAACCGGTGACCTCTGAGATCAGGTCAAGTGCCCCAGGGTACGGTTCAGTTTTTGGTGAATAACTTCGCAAAAAAACGGCCGCAGAGCCGCGATTTTGGCAGCATCGTGTTCGCCTCGCTCAGGCGCGTCGAGTGCTATACATTTTGTTTGGGTCAGGTCATCTTGGGGTGTTGACCTCAGGTCAAGGTCAGGTCAGCACCCCCAGGTCACGAAGTTGGTCGAAAGAGATCATGTCGCATATTATTATATTCGGCAGGTCTTCCTGAGTCCATTGGTGGCTTCCCCGACTCGCTAGCTCAATTTGTTCAAGAGTTATTGACGAAAAACTAATGTGACCTTGATGACGTCATAAATGACGTCACGCAAGGTCAACATTGCAAAAGTGACGCATCTAACCTTGCAAGGAATGCATCTAATCACGATTCTGTGTGCCTGAGCTAGTTGGAGATCTTTCCCGGCGCCAGAATAGCAGTTTTCATTTTTCCCCATTGACTTATAATGGTGAGGTCACGAAAATGACCTGACCTCATATGACCTTTAGGAAAAATCCGAGATATGCAAGTTGTGAGACTCATAATGGATACTAGATCCTGCAAGTTTCATTTCCCTGTGACATCTCCTCTGGCAGTGAGGGCGTTGCGAAATTGCGACATCTGAAGACCGTGCAGAGGTTTACTTATGACGTCATAGGTCAGTGACCTGACCTTACCCAAAAATGCAGTTGATATCAAAAGATCCGGCTTGAATCAAAGGTAAGGTATGCCAAGTTTCAGCTTTCTATCTCCAGCGTGTTCGGAGCTATCGCGAAAAAACCCTATGGACGCAGCGTCCATGACAATGACACTATGCGATGACGCACCACGTCCAGACTGTGCCGTAAAGGCGAGATTACGCTGAAATCTCTGTGATATCGGACCGAGGCAAGGATATTGATTATTGATGACTCAGTCGCGTTTTTGTTTTGTAAATGGTATTTGCTCAGGCTGACAAAGCTCTGCACCTCTCTCCACTGCACTGGCCCCTCTCTCCCCTCTACCCTCAGGGAGAGCGCGTGCAGGCGACGATGCAGGTGCGGGACGACGACCACCACACCATCGAGCACTTTGACGTGCGCCTGGAGGGGGACCACGAGCACCTGCTGGAGCTGGCGCCCAACAGCTACTACCTGGAGAAGAACGCCAGGACGCTGCTCTTTGCCTGTGAGCTCCGGAGGCGGATACTGACTCTGACCTGACCCTGAACTGACCCTTATCTGACCCTGATCTGACAATGACCTGACCCTGATCTGACTCTGACCTTACCCTGACCTGACATAAAAAAGTCACAGTAAAAGTAAAATTTTGTGGCATTGAATTGTTTACACAATCCAAGTTATTAAATTCATTGCTATGTCCAATAAACTATTATCATTTTTGTATGCCGGTTGAAACAAAAAACTTCAAACCCGCTTCCAAACTCGAAGGTGTTCGTCACACAAACTTTTTCGTAGCGTGTTTGCTGTGTGAGCCAGTATGAAAAAGCATCCACGGTAAACTATGTCTGAACTCTTGCTCCCTGAGGGATGCCGTACGTTCGGCTGGACTTATTTCCACTAAGAGCGTTCCCTGGTGGGGCGATCGGCTCTATTTTCGGCGCGCCACCTGACGCCCGCCTTACGGTGCCCGCAGCGCTGGAGTATCGGCAGCATGTAAACCTGGCGGAGCGGCTGGGCGCGCAGTTCAACTACTCGGTCCGAGTCGTCTTCAGGGACCGGACTCTGCACCCAGCCTACGGAGAGGGCTCGGTGAGTCGAGTGAGAGGACTCGGTGAGTCGAGCTGAGTCGCTGGCGGTATACAATATACATACCAGCTGAGCTGTCAGGTGTCACAACCAGCCGCCGCGTGCTGTCACAACCAGCAACTATGTGCTGTCAGCTCCTGTGTGCTGTCAGCAACTATGTGCTGTTAGCCGCCACTGTGTGCTGTCAGCCACTGTGTGCTGACACAACAGCCACTGTGTGTCATCACAATTGTGCGCTGTCACAAATGTGTGCTGTCACAAGTGTGTGCTATTATAATTATGTGCTGTCAAAACCAGCCACTTTGTCCTGCCAGCCATGAGCATAAGAATGGAAGACTCTCATTCTTGGTATCCCTAGTCAACCTTTATCTCTGTTGAAATGCTATGAAATTTCAGTAGTTATTTGAAAACGTCAATGCAACTGCTAGCTGGTCAGTGGCTAGAGACCATTCGTAGCAGGCTGAGTCTTTGATCACTCAAGTTATGTGGTATATGATCCAGCTGGGCCGGCTGAATCTCGTCCTCTGCCACGCCAATCATGCGAGACATACGAACTGGACCCTGCTCTGTCGATCCCGTGCCTTTGGGGCTCCCCAGCCAATCTTTGAGATTTCGCGAACGTTCGAACGTCACTTAGGCTAGCGTGGGTGTAATCATGTGTAAAATTAGCCAGATCTGATTAAGTGAGCGAGGCCTAATGCAGTCTCAAGTCATGTTCCTTATCAATTGCCAGTGCCTGGGTATCACAAGCTGTGGTGATAAAAAGAAAACAGCGAAGCTTGATGTGCCCGCGGAACGTTTATTAGATATGGTTTTTACGTGCATCAAGTGCTATGATATTCAGATTCACTTTCAAATGCACATTCAAAAAAACTCACCAAATGCAAAGTTTTGGCTACCATCGTGTAGCCAGGAAAGCCCTGATTCTGAAAATATATATCCCAATACATGACACTCAACAGTTTACGAGATATACCTGTTTTCCTTTTGAAGGTCATTCAAGGTCATATAGTGGCAGGTCATCAAAAAAACTCACCAATATACACCAAAATTACAGGATATATAGTACAAAAAAGCCTCCATCGAATGGTGGTAGTCGCTATTCATGACACTTCTTCGTTTTTGGTACAGGGGCCATTTTTATTTTCAAATGCCTATCTCGCTAATGTTAACACTGCCTGACTTAAAGGCCAATAACTCCCAAAGTACATCACCGTTCTCTTTCATCTTTTGGTGACACGTTTGCAAGGCCCTGGGGCAGTTTTTGGTCAAGTGCCTACCCATGACGCCTTCTCAAATCGTTTGTACGCGGGTTTGAAAATTTGATATTTTTGGTCACACGGCCAAAGTCAACAAAAAAGAACTCACCAATATGCACAAAAATTACAGGATATATAGTCCAAAGTGACCTCCATCGAATGGTGGTAGTCTCTATTCATGACACTTCTGCGTTTTTGGTACAGCGGCCACATTGATATTCAAATTCCTATCTCGCTAATGTTAACACTGCCTAACTTAAAGGCCAATAACTCCCAAAGTACATCACCGTTCTCTTTCATCTTTTGATGACACGTTTGCAAGACCCTAAAGCAGTTTTTGGTCAAGTGCCTACCCATGACGCCTTCTCAAATCGTTTGTACGCGGGTTTGAAAATTTGATATTTTTGGTCATACTGCCAAAGTCAACAAAAAAGAACTCACCAATATGCACAAAAACTACGGCATATATAGTCCAAAGTGACCTCCATCGAACGGTGGTAGTCGCTTTTCATGACACTTCTGCGTTTTTGGTACAGCGGCCACATTGATATTCAAATGCCTATCTCGCTAATGTTAACGCTGACTGACTTGGATAGGTATAACTCCAAAAGTAAATCTCCGATCTTATTTAACTTTTAGTGGCACGTTAGCAAGGCCCTGGGGCAGTTTTTGGTCAAGTGCCCACCTATTACGCCTTCTCAAAACTTTCTTACGCGGGTTTGAAAATTTGATTTTTTTGGTGATACGGCCAAAGTCAACAAAAAAGAACTCACCAATATGCACAAAAATTACAGGATATATAGTCCAAAGTGACCTCCATCGAATGGTGGTAGTCTCTATTCATGACACTTCTGCGTTTTTGGTACAGCGGCCACATTGATATTCAAATTCCTATCTCGCTAGTGTTAACACTGCCTGACTTAAAGGCCAATAACTCCCAAAGTACATCACCGTTCTCTTTCATCTTTTGATGACACGTTTGCAAGACCCTAAAGCAGTTTTTGGTCAAGTGCCTACCCATGACGCCTTCTCAAATCGTTTGTACGCGGGTTTGAAAATTTGATATTTTTGGTCATACTGCCAAAGTCAACAAAAAAGAACTCACCAATATGCACAAAAATTACGGCATATATAGTCCAAAGTGACCTCCATCGAACGGTGGTAGTCGCTTTTCATGACACTTCTGCGTTTTTGGTACAGCGGCCACATTGATATTCAAATGCCTATCTCGCTAATGTTAACGCTGACTGACTTGGATGGGTATAACTCCAAAAGTAAATCTCCGATCTTATTAAACTTTTAGTGGCACGTTAGCAAGGCCATGGCGCAGTTTTTGGTCAAGTGCCCACCTATTACGCCTTCTCAAAACTTTCGTACGCGGGTTTGAAAATTTGATTTTTTTGGTGATACGGCCAAAGTCAACAAAAAAGAACTCACCAATATGCACAAAAATTACAGGATATATAGTCCAAAGTGACCTCCATCGAATGGTGGTAGTCTCTATTCATGACACTTCTGCGTTTTTGGTACAGCGGCCACATTGATATTCAAATTCCTATCTCGCTAATGTTAACACTGCCTGACTTAAAGGCCAATAACTCCCAAAGCACATCACCGTTCTCTTTCATCTTTTGATGACACGTTTGCAAGACCCTAAAGCAGTTTTTGGTCAAGTGCCTACCCATGACGCCTTCTCAAATCGTTTGTACGCGGGTTTGAAAATTTGATATTTTTGGTCATACTGCCAAAGTCAACAAAAAAGAACTCACCAATATGCACAAAAATTACGGCATATATAGTCCAAAGTGACCTCCATCGAACGGTGGTAGTCGCTTTTCATGACACTTCTGCGTTTTTGGTACAGCGGCCACATTGATATTCAAATGCCTATCTCGCTTATGTTAACGCTGACTGACTTGGATGGGTATAACTCCAAAAGTAAATCTCTGATCTTATTAAACTTTTAGTGGCACGTTAGCAAGGCCCTGGGGCAGTTTTTGGTCAAGTGCCCACCTATTACGCCTTCTCAAAACTTTCGTACGCGGGTTTGAAAATTTGATTTTTTTGGTGATACGGCCAAAGTCAGCAAAAAAGAACTCACCAATATGCACAAAAATTACGGCATATATAGTCCAAAGTAATCTCCATCGAATGGTGGTAGTCCCTATTCATGACACTCCTGCGTTTTTGGTACAGCGGCTACATTGATATTCAAATGCCTATCTCGCTAATGTTAACACTGACTGACTTGGATGGGTTTAATTCCAAAAGTACATCTCCGATCTTGTTAAACTTTTAGTGGCACGTTACCAAGGCCCTGGAACAGTTTTTGGTCAAGTGCCTACCCATGACGCCTTCTCAATACCTTTGTATGCGAGTTTGAAAATTTGATATCTTTGGTGATACGGCCAAAGTCAACAAAAAATAAAAACTCACCAATTTGCACAAAAATTACGGCATATATAGTCCAAAGTGACCTCCATCGAATGGTGGTAGTCCCTATTCATGACACTTCTGCGTTTTTGGTACAGCGGCCACATTGATATTCAAATGCCTATCTCGCTAATGTTATTGCTGACTGACTTGGATGGGTATAACTCCAAAAGTACATCTCCGATCTTGTTAAACTTTTAGTGGCACGGTAGCAAGGCTCTGGGGCAGTTTTTGGTAAAGTGCCTACCCATGACGCCTTCTCAATACTTTTGTACGCGGGTTTGAAAATTTGATTTTTTTGGTGATACGGCCAAAGTCAACAAAAAAGAACTCACCAATATGCGCAAAAATTACGGCATATATAGTCCAAAGTGACCTCCATCGAATGGTGATAGTCCCTATTCATGACACTTCTGCGTTTTTGGTACAGCGGCCACATTGATATTTAAATGCCTATCTCGCTAATGTTAACGCTGACTGACTTGGATGGGCATAACTCTAAAAGTACATCTCCGATCTTGTTAAACTTTTAGTGGCACGTTAGCAAGGCCCTGGGGCAGTTTTTGGTCAAGTGCCTACCCATGACGCCTTCTCAAAACTTTTGTACGCGGGTTTGAAAATTTGATTTTTTGGTGATACGACGAAAGTCAACAAAAAAGAACTCACCAATATGCACAAAAATTACGGCATATATAGTCCAAAGTGACCTCCATCGAATGGTGGTAGTCCCTACTCATGACACTTCTGCGTTTCTGGTACAGCGGCCACATTGATATTCAAATGCCTATCTCGGTAATGTTAACACTGACTGACTTGGATGGGTATAGCTCCAAAAGTACATCTCTGATCTTGTTAAACTTTTAGTGGCACGTTAGCAAGGCCCTGGGGCAGTTTTTGGTCAAGTGGCTACCCATGACGCCTTCTCAAATCGTTTGTACGCGGGTTTGAAAATTTGATTTTTGTGGTCATACGGCCAAAGTCAACAAAAAAGAACTCACCAATATGCACAACAATTACGGCATATATAGTCCAAAGTGACCTCCATCGAATGGTGGTAGTCGCTATTCATGACACTTCTGCGTTTTTGGTACAGCGGCCACATTGATATTCAAATGCCTATCTCGCTAATGTTAACGCTGACTGACTTGGATGGGTATAATTCCAAAAGTACATCTCCGATCTTGTTAAACTTTTAGTGGCACGTTAGCCAGGCCCTGGGGCAGTTTTTGGTCAAGTTGCTACCCATGACGCCTTCTCAACTCGTTTGTACGCGGGTTTGAAAATTTGATTTTTTTGGTCATACGGCCAAAGTCAACAAAAAAAAAACTCACCAATATGCACAAAAATTACGGCATATATAGTCCAAAGTGACCTCCATCGAATGGTGGTATTCCCTATTCATGACACTTCTGCGTTTTTGGTACAGCGGTCACATTGATATCCAAATGCCTATCTCGCTAATGTTAACGCTGACTGACTTGGATGGGTATAACTCCAAAAGTACATCTCCGATCTTGTTAAACTTTTAGTGGCACGTTAGCAAGGCCCTGGGGCAGTTTTTGGTCAAGTGCCTACCCATGACGCCTTCTCAATACTTTTGTACGCGGGTTTCAAAATTTGATTTTTTTGGTGATACGGCCAAAGTCAACAAAAAGAACTCACCAATATGCACAAAAATTACGGCATATATAGTCCAAAGTGACCTCCATCGAATGGTGGTAGTCCTTATTCATGACACTTCTGCGTTTTTGGTACAGCGGCCACATTGATATTCAAATGCTTATCTCGCTAATGTTAACGCTAACTGACTTGGATGGGTAGGCACTTGACCAAAAAACTACCCCAGGGCCTTGCTAACGTGCCACTAAAAGTTTAACAAGATCGGAGATGTACTTTTGGAGTTATACCCATCCAAGTCAGTCAGCGTTAACATTAGCGAGATAGGCATTTGAATATCAATGTGGCCGCTGTACCAAAAACGCAGAAGTGTCATGAATAGGGACTACCACCATTCGATGGAATCCACTTTGGACTATATATGCCGTAATTTTTGTGCATATTGGTGAGTTCTTTTTTGTTGACTTTGGCCGTATGACAAAAAAAAAATCAAATTTTCAAACCCGCGTACAAACGAGTTGAGAAGGCGTCATGGGTAGCCACTTGACCAAAAACTGCCCCAGGGCCTTGCTAACGTGCCACTAAAAGTTTAACAAGATCAGAGATGCACTTTTGGAGTTATACCCATCCAAGTCAGTCAGCGTTAACATTAGCGAGATAGGCATTTGAATATCCCAGTAAACATGACGACGTCGGCCCGACGTCGGGCCGAGGCTCGGCCCGACGTCGGCCCAACGTCGGTTCAACCTCGGCCCGACATCGGCTGGACGTCGGATATGCCCGCATGTTCCGACGTCCAGCCGAAGTCCAGCCGACGTCGAGCCGACGTCGGGCCGAGATCGTTTGCCGAGGTTGACGAGATCGTTTTTCGTTGGACCGACGGGGCCGACGTCGGCATGTTTATTGGGACAGCGCGCCAAAAATATCAACCGGCGGCGGGATTCGAGGCCCCCAGTCGCCGACGTCGGCATGTTTACTGGGACAACACGCCAAAAGCATCAGCCGGCGATGGGATTCGAACCCCGTGTCATTCGAAAGCGAGGTTAGTGCGCTAACTACTACACCACGCAGCCAGCTAACAAATTTGGTTTGTTTTGTTGGGTTATGTCCTTTCGGTCTGACAAGACCATTTCAGAGCCGGAAGGATCATAGGATGGAGACATTGGTCTTCTTGGCGAGCACCCTGGGTCCAGTTCATATATGAGTCCCTGGTCCCATTGCTGTTACGTGACACTTATTGGAAAGGGCGACCCCACAATGGATTCATATAGCCACTCTTGCACACCTGCACCAACGTTTCCCAAAGTGTCCCTTTGATAAGTGGCACTTTGGCAAAGTGACACTTGCCACTGGCCTTTCTATATGAACTGGGCCCGGCCCTGGTGAGTTGCCGGGGCTGAGCCTGACCATAGGATAGGCCGAGCAGCCCCCAAGCACTCACCGCACCCGGCTACGGGCGAGCTCGGCTTACGGGCAATCCAAAATGGGATAAAGTTTCCCGTCCAGTCCGGATCAGGGGGTTGCGGCGTGGAGGAAGATTTGAGTTTCCTGAGAATATTTTGAATACAGAAGCTCTTTATGAAACATGAAACATGTATTTTATATTATTTTAACGGTCAAAACAGCGGCCGATGTCGGTCCGACGTCGCCCCGACGTCGGCCCGACGTCGGCCCGACGTCGGCTGGACCTCAGCAATTGATCTCGGTCCGACGTCGGCCCGACGTCGGCTGGACCTCGGCTGGACGTCGGAACATGCGGGCATATCCGACATCCAGCCGACGTCGTGCCTAGGTTGGACCGACGTCGGGCCGACGTCGGCATGGCGATGCCGAGTTGCCGACGTCACCCCGACGTCGGCCGACGTCGGGCCGACGTCGGCATGTTTACTGGGATCAATGTGGCCGCTGTACCAAAAACGCAGAAGTGTCATGAATAGCGACTACCACCATTCGATGGAGGTCACTTTGGACTATATATGTGTTAGTGTGTGCTAACCTTCATTCCTCCTTGGCCGAGCGTAAACAAACCTTTTTCTCTTCTTAACTCTATTTCTCTCAACACCTGTCGGTATACCCCGCGAGCCCACCCTCGCGCAACCCGCCTCAACACGCGGCTCTCAACAATCTGGCGCCAATTTTCTGCGTTCACGCATTATGGCCAGCCGTACGCAACCGCCAATGACCGCCTTCCTCACAGCCGCCTCAGATGCATCGCACTCGCTCATTGGTTTAACTGCCGCACCAATCATCATTGCGCTAATAACCGTTTCGGCTGTCTCACGCCTCCTCATTGGTTACCCTTTTGTTTACATTTCAAGGCCCGTGCCTAACATCCCCCTCCCCTTAAACTAGAAACATAGGGCGAACATCAAATAATTGAAGCTGTACCGCACAACTAGCGATTCCACAATACCGCGTCACAGGAACACGAGCATCCTCAGTCACAACTTACACTAAAACATACCTAACTCAAAACCAAGTACTAAGCTCATTAACGGTTCTTGCTAGAGGTAGCGCGATGGTTTCCTCACCTCACGACCATACCTCGTTCGCGTTGTCCCGGCAGCCTCCGGAACCGTCTCATCAGCTGAGGTCATCATGCTGATGTCCGTCTCGTTCAGGTCATCTCTCGTCCTCGCGAGATCATCTGGCTCCAGCGAATCGTCCTGTGTCGAACTGGTCTCGACGGTCTTCACATTGTCAGCGGCTCCCTCGTCCGGCGTTTCGTCTGGCGCTGACGTCTTCCCGTCGACCGTCGTGTCTTGCGCTGCTCTCGCCACTGGTTCCAACAGCTCCGTCGGATTGAGCCCTGCGTCATCCGTTTCTCGTGACGGCTGTACCGCGCTCTTCGGTATCTGATCATCGATATTCAGTCCATCCAACTGAACATCTTCAGCCACACCTTCTTCTCTTCCACCAGTCACTGTCGTTGCCGCCAGCTCAGTCTCTCCGCTGACGACCTCTGGTCCGTTTGCTTCAGCATAGTCGTCCCTTCCAGTGCCGTGTCTCTCCTCGATCTCCAGCACTGTCATTTCTCGCTCGCCTGCTGTACTGTCCCCCTTCTTCAGGTGACAACCGTGTATCAGTCTGCGTTTCCGACCTTTCCTTATCACGTAGTCTGGTGGTCGTGCCTCCACCACTGTGTAGGGTCCTTCAAACTTCGGTCTCAGTTTCCCATGCACTCCTTTTCCGGCTGTGAAATTGCGACACCACACGGCATCTCCTGGCTGAAACGTTGCTGGTCTCGTGTCGGTGCGAAGACTCTGCTTCTGTCTGATCAGTTCCAGTGCTTTCTGATGCGTGTGTTTCAGGCGCTTCTTCAGCTCTCCCAGAAACTGACGATGAGATTGGTTCTTGATGTTCTCCACGTCGAATTCGTCTTCCAGAACAGTTCGCATTGGTCTCCCGTACACCAGCTCCCCTGGTGAGAATCCCGTCGCGCTGTGACATCCCGAGTTGTACGCCGATGCTACCACAGGTAGCCACAGGTCCCAGTCGCGCCTGTTTTCTGCCACGTAGTGGGTGAGTAGTTCCATCAGTGTCCGATTTAGTCGCTCCGCTTGTCCGTTACAGCATGGGTGGTATATAGTTGTTCTCAGCTTCTCGACACCCAACAGGTGACAGACTCCTTTCATGAGGGCTCCTTCAAAATTGCGGCCCTGATCGGTCAACAGGGTCTTCATTACCCCGAAGCGGCCGATCACCTGCATCACACAGTGCACGATTTCTTCCGCAGTCTGCCGTTTCAACGGAAACACTTCCACCCACTTGCTGAAGAGGTCCGTCATGACCAGTACGTACTTGTGACCAGCGTCACTTTCCGGAAGCTCGAGGATATCTGCTGACCAGTGCAGGAACGGCTCGCCTTCTACCGAAATTGTTCCTCTTCCCTCTTTGCAGCTTGTGTACTTCGGCTTCGTCTTCAAACACGACGTGCAGCTTCCGCAGTAACGTCGTACTTCGCGCTGTATGTTATACCAGAAAAAGCCTGTTGTCAGACGATGGAGTGTTCGCCTCACGCCACCGTGCCCTGACATCGGAACGTCGTGAGCCAGACGCAGTGCTCTCTGTCTGACGCTTGTCGGCAGGATCACTTGCGCTCTCTGGTGTCCCTCCGAAATCCGCTGAACTATGCCGTTGTGTAGCTGCAAGCCTGAAAGTCCAGTGTAGAAGTCCAGTTCTGATTGCTGGCTGTGCGTCAACTTGTCCGTCTTCACTGACTGCTTTTTCAGGTGTCGAGTGAGCTGGCACAGTACAGGATCTGTCCGTGTCTCTGTAACCAGATCGCCTAGGTGCTCGACGTCTACGACGTCACATGGACTGTCGCCGACGTTTCCTCCTTCTCCGGCTTCTTCGTCATTTCCTTCTTCCCTTACCTCTCCATCATTTTCAACTTCCACTCTCTCGCCACGGTTTTCAGCTTCTGGTGTCTCTCCGTCGTTTTCGCCTTCCGTGGATGGCTCTTGCGCGTCCACGACTGTAGAGCGCCGCAGTGTCACATTGTCCACCACTCCCACTCCTCTGGGTACGAATTCTGGTGCGGTCGGTCGTAGTTCGTGCTTCATGTTGTTCATCTCAAACTTGCGAGACAGAGCGTCTGCTTGAGGGATCAGGCGACCCGCCACGTGCTCAACGGCGTGGTCAAACTGTTGCAGTTGCTCAAGCCATCGAAACAATCTTCCTGACGGTGACTTCGAGAATACATCTTGATACTCCTCCAGAAGATCCTTGAACGGCTTCTTCTCTGGCATGTTCAGGTGATCCAACGATGGCAGCTGTGGTCCCTCTGGTTGACTCTGCATCACACGTTCTTCCTTTCTCTTCTGTCCCTGATGCAGCTCAGCAACATGAACAGACTCATGGACTCCGAGCACTGTGCCTGCTGGAATGGTGACATCTTCATCCCCCATGTTCAGGATCCGAACCGGTGTTCCTTGGTGCTTGAGGTGAACTGCCGGCGCGATCGTCACCCCCGAAACATCTGATGGCTGGAACAGCTGTGTCTGTGGTTGTACCAGTCGACTGACACGGATGAAGGTCTGAGACCGTGCAGCACAGACCACCGGACATCTGGTTGAAACTTCTTGAGACTCACATCTCTCCACGGGTTCATCTCCGACCCGCAGTTGACCTGTGCCGCAGTGGATGACCACATCCAACTTGTTCAGGAGATCCAGTCCAATGAGCAGAGGGTCCGTGAGCCCCGCAGACACACACAGCTGGTGAACCACTCTGGCTGGGCCCAGTTCTACCTCCACCTCCACTTGACCCATCAGAGATACCTCAGATCCATTAGCAGCCAAACATTTCACTTCTGGCATCGCGGTTACAGTCAAACCAAGCTCCTCCACCACAGTCATGTTGAGCAGGCTTATGGCGCTCCCCGTGTCAAGGACACCTTCCATTTTCACCCCATTCAGCAGCATGTTAACCCTCATTTCACCAGTTGGAGCTGTGCCAAGCCGGCGCACATCATGTTGGGGCACACTTGGACACACTGATCTGACATGGCCCACACCTCCACACTGAAAACATTTTATTTCGGCCCTACCTGTTGGTGGCTGAGGCTGATCACTTCCTCCAGCTTCACCGGTCTGTCGGGCTGGCGGTCGCGGTCCTTCTTGTCGGTGTTGTTGATACTTCGCTGGTGGTCTTGTGCGTGTAACTCCCTGTGTGAAGCCTCTGTTCTCCCTGCCGTATCCTTGTTGCACTGTGCGAGGGCAGAACCTCTTGATGTGACCTAACTGGCCACAGTTGTAGCACCGTCTTTCGGTTACAACAGTTCGTACCAGTGGTGGTTCCTGACGTTCTTGAGCAGTCATCTCCTTGTGCAGCTGCTCCATCGTCTGCAGTCGCTCCAGCTTCCGAATGACGGCTTCCACAGAGCTGGCATCAGCATCCAGCAGCTTCATGGTCCACTTACTTGGTACCACTCGAGGCAGTTGCTCCAACAGCAAGCTGTCTTGTGCCTCCTTGGACAACTCTGGCATGCCTCCACGCAACAACTGCTGCAGCTTCAGCACAAACAAACGAGGATTGTCATCAGCCTTCATTCTTTCTTCATAAAACATGTGTAGTAACACTTTTCTTTTCTCTTTTGGGCAGAGCAGGTTTCTGATCATTTCCGTGGCCTCTTGCATGTCTTTTGGTGGGTTATTTTCCAACTCATCTGCCACCCAGCTTGTCCCGTCCAGTAGCAGTGCCGGAAGAAGATCCAGCTGTCTCTGCTCACTCCAGCCATTAGCGCGCGCGGACCTACGTAGTTTCCGCAGAAATTCCTCGGCATCGTCTGCGTCAGTGCATGTGGGTGGTGGCACTCCAGCGAACCCACTCCAACCACCGAGACCTCCGGCAGTCGCCGTTACAGCATTTGCACTTTCTTTACTAACCGCCGTCTCACCTTTGTTCCGGTCCAGCGCCATCTTGACTTTTCTTCATTCGCAGCCTTGCAACACTTTACACAATAAAAAAGGCAATAAGTTATATCCCACCGCTGATGTTAGTGTGTGCTAACCTTCATTCCTCCTTGGCCGAGCGTAAACAAACCTTTTTCTCTTCTTAACTCTATTTCTCTCAACACCTGTCGGTATACCCCGCGAGCCCACCCTCGCGCAACCCGCCTCAACACGCGGCTCTCAACAATCTGGCGCCAATTTTCTGCGTTCACGCATTATGGCCAGCCGTACGCAACCGCCAATGACCGCCTTCCTCACAGCCGCCTCAGATGCATCGCACTCGCTCATTGGTTTAACTGCCGCACCAATCATCATTGCGCTAATAACCGTTTCGGCTGTCTCACGCCTCCTCATTGGTTACCCTTTTGTTTACATTTCAAGGCCCGTGCCTAACATATGCCGTAATTTTTGTGCAAATTGGTGAGTTGTTTTTTGTTGACTTTGGCCGTATCACCAAAGATATCAAATTTTCAAACCCGCATACAAAAGTATTGAGAAGGCGTCATGGGTAGGCACTTGACCAAAAACTGCTCCAGGGCCTTGCTAACGTGCCACTAAAAGTTTAACAAGATCGGAGATGTACTTTTGGAGTTATACCCATCCAAGTCAGTCAGTGTTAACATTAGCGAGATAGGCATTTGAATATCAATGTAGCCGCTGTACCAAAAACGCAGGAGTGTCATGAGTAGGGACTACCACCATTCGATGGAGGTCACTTTGGACTATATATGCCGTAATTTTTGTGCATATTGGTGAGTTCTTTTTTGTTGACTTTGGCCGTATCACCAAAAAAATCAAATTTTCAAACCCGCGTACGAAAGTTTTGAGAAGGCGTCATAGGTGGGCACTTGACCAAAAACTGCCCCAGGGCCTTGCTAACGTGCCACTAAAAGTTTAACAAGATCGGATATTTACTTTTGGAGTTATACCCATCCAAGTCAGTCAGCGTTAACATTAGCGAGATAGGCATTTGAATATCAATGTGGCCGCTGTACCAAAAACGCAGAAGTGTCATGAATAGCGACTACCACCATTCGATGGAGGTCACTTTGGACTATATATGCCGTAATTTTTGTGCATATTGGTGAGTTCTTTTTTGTTGACTTTGGCAATATGACCAAAAATATCAAATTTTCAAACCCGCGTACAAACGATTTGAGAAGGCGTCATGGGTAGGCACTTGATCAAAAACTGCCTTAGGGTCTTGCAAACGTGTCATCAAAAGATAAAAGAGAACGGTGATGTACTTTGGGAGTTATTGGCCTTTAAGTCAGGCAGTGTTAACATTAGCGAGATAGGCATTTGAATATCAATGTGGCCGCTGTACCAAAAACGCAGAAGTGTCATGAATAGAGACTACCACCATTCGATGGAGGTCACTTTGGACTATATATCCTGTAATTTTTGTGCATATTGGTGAGTTCTTTTTTGTTGACTTTGGCCGTATGACCAAAAATATCAAATTTTCAAACCCGCGTACAAACGATTTGAGAAGGCGTCATGGGTAGGCACTTGACCAAAAACTGCCCCAGGGCCTTGCAAACGTGTCACCAAAAGATGAAAGAGAACGGTGATGTACTTTGGGAGTTATTGGCCTTTAAGTCAGGCAGTGTTAACATAAGCGAGATAGGCATTTGAAAATAAAAATGGCCCCTGTACCAAAAACGAAGAAGTGTCATGAATAGCGACTACCACCATTCGATGGAGGCTGCTTTGTACTATATATCCTGTAATTTTGGTGTATATTGGTGAGTTTTTTTGATGACCTGCCACTATATGACCTTGAATGACCTTCAAAAGGAAAACAGGTATATCTCGTAAACTATTGAGTGTCATGTATTGGGATATATATTTTCAGAATCAGGGCTTTCCTGGCTACACGATGGTAGCCAAAACTTTGCATTTGGTGGTTTTTTTTGAATGTGCATTTGAAAGTGAATCTGAATATCATAGCACTTGATGCACGTATAGTTTTTCTCCATTTCCACCATGTTCAATATAGTGTTCAGGGAAAACGGCGTCACGGACGGCTCTGAGAGTCTCAGATATTTTCATTAAGGTCTGTATCCTACTATGACAAAATAAATCAACCGAGAGCAATGTCCAGTGCTGTGACGCACGCGTGGAAGTCAGACGGTCGGAGGTGATGAGGACGCCAATGGCGCCAACATTATGGACAACGAGCCTTAGCAATTTTATATGCAGCCGAACTCCCTTCCCTGGCTAATACATGTGCAAGCAAAATGTTTTGTTTAACCTTTCTAAATAAGCTCATATTAGATCGGTAAAGCAATAATTTTCTTGCGTGCCGAGTTCCCAGACCCAAATGAATTTAGGTACAATACCCTAGTAACGGACGAATTTGTTATTCAACACTGTCTTCATGGATTTATTTAGATAAATGTAGGTCAATGACAGGAGCTCCACCATCGTGGGTCGGATACGGGGTGTCCAGACCTCCTAATAATTGCACTTCCGTGATGCAGCTTGATGTATAAGGATGCGCATTTTTTGGTCGGACCCCATCTCCCAACCCGTAAACCATGACGGAGCTTCTGGTCAATGACTTAGCAAATTTTCCTTCAACATCAAGCATATATGCAGGACATTTGAGATAGTTCCTACAGCATTTAACTACATTTAGATTTTAGGTTAGGTACTTACTATAGGTGGCTCCAATAATGAAACATAAATCAGCCTGTCTAACGAGCTCCGTTTTTCCCTTACATTCTGCGTGCTTTATGTATGAAGTGTCGGCAGACGTGTAACCCAGCACCTCCCTCTCCCCCGGCGGCAGGTGACGATCACGGTAAACCTGCTCTCCGGCTGTCGGCCCACGGACCCGCCCCCGCCCCCGCCCCCGCCCGCCGGCGGCGCCGACCCGCCCGGCGACCACCAGGACGTCTATGAGGTCACCGTGAGCCGGTGGGCGGCGCGGTTCGCGCGCGTGTTCCAGCCACCGGCGGCGCTGGCGGCCGCCCTCCGCGGCCAGAGAGCGCACCTCGAGCCCGCAGACCTCGGCTCGCTGTCGGTGACGGCCTCGGGTGGTATCGTATACGTCTGGCGGCCGGAGCGGCTGGCGCGAGCGGAATCACCGCTAGTCCTCAAACTGGTGGCGTCATCAGCGTCCCCGGGCGTCGATACGGACGTGACGTCATCCAACAGCACCGACCGCAACATCACGCTGGTGTCAGAGGAGGGAGACTTCTCCTCGCCGAGCACAACGGAGGGAAGTGCCGCCGAACCCAGCACGGTCCCTGCGGCAGACGCCGGGGCCGACCCCGCCGAGGGAGCCGCCACAGTGAACGTCACGATCCGCGTGTGGCTGGCCGAGAACGGCTCCTGTTCAGGGGAGGCCGTGGGCAGTGGCTCACGGACGGCACCGGACGACCCGGAGCCAATGTGCGCGCGCAGCTCCCGGCTCGAGGACTGCGAGACCACGTGTGGTGCCGGCGCCAACGGCACGTGTACGTGGCGACCGCCCGAGGCCAACAAGACGCTGACGCACGAGTACGGCACGTGCAGCTCCGACCTGGCCACGTGTCCGGACGGCACGTGTGACCCGCTGGAGCAGCTCTCGGGCCGCATCTGCCCGCAAGACTGCGCCGGTAAGTGGACTCATCAGCCCGGATTGGGGAGGGTGGCGGTGGGGAGGATTGGAAAAGAGCACATGCTTAGGTCGATACATTCGGCAGTGTTGTTAGCATATCGACAACAGAGATGCTGCATGAAGGTATATCTATCGTTCTGTTTTAGACAAGTTGAACGCTGCTGAACAAGCTAATGGCAAAAACGATGTGGTCTTTTTAGCGGTGTTAGATATTTGAAACATGGGGCATCTTACGTCACTGTCTGTCTCACCTCTCCCTCTCTCTCTCTCTCTCTCTCTCTCTCTCTCTCTCTCTCTCTCTCTCTCTCTCTCTCTCTCTCTCTCTCTCTCTCCCTCCCTCCCTCTCCCTCCCTCTGCAGAGTACAGTTCGGCGGGCCTGTACCTGCAGCCGGGGCCGGCCGGGCGCGGCGTCGCCTCTGCCCGAGGACTGTGCGTCTGCCACTCGCGTCACCAGTGTGTCTGCGGACCGGCTGAGCACCTCTACAGCGTGTGGAACGAGACGGCGCCCGTCACCACCGACCGACCCGAGCAACCGCGTGAGTGGGACGGAAACTCGTGAGTCGGGATACCCATGATTGGCAGTTACGGTTACTCCCTTGTGATTCATGTACTCCCACGATCGGCACTCCCCTACCACATTTCACCACCCTCCCCACTCCGGCCCTACACGCCGTTCCGTCTTCATGCTCCCCGCTCCAGCGTTCACATGTCTGTTCCGTCCGTCGTCACGGTGTCTCTGTCGCTCGAGTCACTCTAACCTCATGCTTCTGTCGTTCCAGTCCGGTGTTTCTCCGTCGTTACAGTCCTGTATTTCTGTCCTTCCAGCAGCGCAAGTCCCTGTCGTTACCGCGTTCCTGTCGTTCCCGGTCCCAGCTACGCTTCTCCGAGCCGTCCTGTGCTCTCTGTCGTTCCAGTTGTGTGTAGTTCTGTCGTTAGTGTTCCTGTCGTTACAGTCTGTCTCTGTCGTTCCAGTTGTGCGTAGTTCTGTCGTTAGTGTTCCTGTCGTTACAGTCTGTCTCTGTCGTTCCAGTTGTGCGTAGTTCTGTCGTTAGTGTTCCTGTCGTTACAGTCTGTTCTCTGTCGTTCCAGTTGTGTGTAGTTCTGTCGTTGTGTTCCTGTCGTTACACTCTGTCTCTGTCGTTCCAGTTGTGTGTGTAGTTCTGTCGTTGTATTCCTGTCGTTACAATCTGTCTCTGTCGTTCCAGCGACGTCTCCCTCGGAGCCCTCCTGCGGCGCCAGCTGTATCGTCGGCATCACCCTGGGCCTGGTGCTGCTCCTCACTGTGCTGTTCCTCGCCTTCATGGTCTACGACGCCAGGTGAGAGGTCTCTGAGGCTCCACTCTACGACGCCAGGTAAGCGGTCTCCGAGGGTCTACGACGCCACTTAAAGGTAGTGTGCCAGCTTTCCTGGACCGTATGGAGTTAATGGCCCAGATAAGGAGAAGCGGATTTTTAGAACTTATCCATACCTTCAAAACTCATGGAAACGTCTTAAATTCTTCAAATTTTGAGTACCCCAGTGCGAAATTCGCCCCGACGGATTGTCGGTCGTATTCCAACCACATTTCACACCACTATGAACAATAAATGCACACACTGAAATCGCTATTACCGATATGCTCATCCAATCAAGTTTCGATAAACCCGTTCATCATCATCTCCTGCGGTTTCGAACACGCCTGTTAGGTGGTGCGGTAGACCACGCCCAAAGCCAGGGCCCCGGTAACGTGAGGTAGCCGAGTCGGGGCAGCGTGCGCTGACCCAAGCCGGGGCCGCGCGTCCTCCCGGTGTTATGTGATAGCCCGGGGCTGCCCGCGGGGATGCGGTAGACCGCGCCCAAAGCTGCGGCCCCGGCTTGGGTCAGCGCACGCTGCCTCGACTCGGCTACCTCACGTTACCGGGGCCCTGGCTTTGGGCGCGGCTTCTGCTCATACTTTGTGGTGTGGTGGTGGTGCGTCGGGCCGCGCGCTCTGACTTCGTCCAAGAAAAATGCGTCAGCTGATCATTGTCATTTCAGTGCCACTTGCGTGTGGTGAAATGGGGTCATAACTTAAGAGACGGCTTTTTCATATCAATTATTTTACATAAAATCATATTTCAAACCATAACTAATGTTCGACAGCCAAATAAAAGAAACAATACCAATACAGGCTTACAGTTTAAGGCTCGACATTGTGTTGTCTACGATTAGACAGCTGATAACTCATTCCTGTACGTCGTAACTCTATAATGACCTTTGCTTATTGTCACATGTGCGCCGCATTCGCGATTGTTGCCGACGCCTGTTTGCAGGTCAGCCCACTACAGTTGTTATACATATCGAAAAACCGATAAACTTTTAGGCGAAAAAGGCACTATTCCAGGCCCATTTTTGATTTTTTTTTTGCGATATTAGGTAAAAACATAAGCTTCTTATCCTAGGAAAAATAAAATGGGAAATCTTTCAAAGGTGGCACACTACCTTTAAGACGCTCTGAGAGTCTACGATGGTGCGAGGTGGCAGGCTTCCTCACGGTCTTCATATATTCTGACGACGTAAAGTGATGAAGAGGCTCTCTCGTCTCTGTGGTCTGCAGCGCAAAGTCAGGTCACCCATTGAAGCTGCATGCCGATTGCCGAACTCTTCCTACTAGACATAAATAATAAGCAGTTAAATAGTACCTGTAATTTACTGATCGTTGTGACAGTACAGCGAGGGACCGTGACCTCAGTTGATCTTTGCTCTAATTTATCCAACCAGCTGTGACCCCGGCTGGCCACGAAGGTGTCTGTGCCGAGATGGTGAAATGTTCTACTTCGCATGTGCAGGTGTAACAGCCTGAAGAAGCTTCAGAAGGACCCGTTCGAGGGTGGCATTTCGCTGTCACACATCAACACCAACCCCGGGGGCGACCTGATGACCTCCGGAGGCTTCTCCAGCACCGCTCACCTGCTGGAGGCACTGCCGGTGAGTCACTGTCAGGGACTGTACCAGTCAGTCACTGGTAGAGTCACTGAACCGTGAGTCACTGCTAGAGGCTGTACATTCTATTTTTGTGTTCTTGCCAGGGACTACGCCTGTCCGAGTGCTCTCGAGTGCTCTTCAGAACCGTTCTAATCCCTCCATCTGTTTGGTCGCGGTCTGTGCCAGTCTTTTCAGGTAGTATAAGGCTGCATTCCTATTCCGGCCATGAAACGTCACTGAAGACTATCCAGAGACCTGCGATTATTACCGTAATTGATATGAGTCCTTTTTAGGAGCCGCTGATTGCGGAGGAATCTATTTTAGTTTTGCGCACGACTGAATGCCGCATAGTTATTCTTATGAAAATGTGTAACGTTGTCCTACAAGCAATTGATATTTAGAAAAGCAAATGGACTTTCTCCACAAAGTAATTTAGTTCGCTGGAGTTTCGGATATCTATTAACGTACATATCTTCTTAAGCAATCGTATCTTAAAATATATTCGATCGCATCAAATCGTTTACAAAAGCAAACTACTACTAGCAAAAGACTTTCGGGCTGCATCAAATAATGGATTGAGATTGTATTAGCCGTTTTCACGACGGCCATCTGGTACACATTTGGTGCACATCTGGTGCAGATCAGGTGCAGATTTGGTCAAATCAGGTTCATTGTGTCTCTTAGTAGCTATCAGCTAGGGTTGCACTAATTGCTTATATGCCTGCTTTGTCATATTATCAGAGAGTATCATCGATTAAAACACTGAAATAAATTCATAAAATAAAGATATTTGCTGTAAAAGAGGTTAGGTGCAGATTTGGTCAAATTAGGTGCACTCGCCGGATAGCCCGTCGTGAAAACGGCTATTACCTCATTCATTCATTCATTTCCTTCGCCCAATACTAAGTGATTAATGTAAGAATTACGTACCTACATACTAGTGACCAAAGGTCCTACTGGTGAGAAATAACGTGCCAGATAATTCGCCATTTGTCTCAATAGTGCACGTGGATGGTCACGCCATATTGGCGGGAGGCCATTGGTGGCCGAATAGATGGCCGACCTATCCAATACATCTGGCATCAACCAGCTGCATTTCGGAGACTGTACGAGCCACCTGACCGAGACTGTACAACCAGAGACACAGGCCTCCCAGGTTCGTGTACCCCATCCGTCTTCAATAGATCAGATCTGCACCTACCTTCTCCCCCTACTACCACCCTATTGAAAGATAGCCCAGCTGCTAAACAAGTCGTGATCGGCAGCACGGCTATAGGAGCTCCTCTGCATTGATACCGTGCTGACTTATTGAAAGATGTGGCGAGATGAGGGCGTAAATGGGATTCTGGGATATCAGCTGGTGATGACCAGGGCTGGCATAGCACCGCGGAGAGGCGGGACGCAAATGTCACGCCGGACATGCCGTGTCAAAGGTCAGGTCAGTCGGGGTGGCCGTCCATTTTGGTCAGCCGTTCGTTCCAGCCTGTCCTAGATTACATGGCGCCGGCACACAGCCGCTGGACGGACGGACGGACGAGATTCCCGCCGATGTGATGAGCGGGTGCTGCGTCACTGACTCGTGTGTGTCCTGCGATGGTGCGATTTTGAACATCCACTTATCGGTACCCAGTCTGTGTGCACACACAGTGGGTTCCGCTGAGTTTTGGAGGCTTTAATGTGTGTCAGGCGCGGATACAAGGGGGGGCCATGGGGGCCATGGCCCCCCCCCCCTTGGCCGATTTTTTTCAAAAATAAAATAAAAAGTTAAAAAGTTAAAAAGCTGAAAAGGGGGCCTCCTGAAAATAAAGTGGCCGAAATCCGATGAGTTTTTTTTTTAACCTACCCACTTAGTTATTTCTTAGAAGACTAGCTGAGAAGACTTCTTTGTTAGAAGATTGGTAAAGCTTTTCATAACTTGGAGGTCTCTTATACTCACAGAGATGACCACTTTTACAGGGCCTCCTAACCTGCACAGAGGGCCTCCAAGCCTGCACAGATGTTGAGATGTTGCCTGAACAGCTAGATAAGCTCAATAGACGCAGTTTTTTTGGGGGGGCCCAACAAGTGGGAAGATGGGGCCTCCAACAGGTGGGATTATGGGGGGGGGCCTCCTGGTTTCTAATGGCCCCTCCCTTGGAGATTTTCTGGATCCGCCCCTGATGTGTGTCCGCCTGAAAAGGTATTACGTCGATATCATGGATGCTTTCTAATGATATTCGTGTGGTGATGAACAGTATGAGGCTGTTAAAGTGTCGTTCATTCTTTTTTTCCATCTGGTAGGTAATTTTGTTATCTGCTAGTGCATTTGAAGGCTGTTGGAATAGGAGCCCTGAGCCCAATTTCAAAAAGTGCAAATGCTCTCATATGGCAATTTGTAAGAAGAGGCTGGATAGTTATATTATCTATTCAGAAAGCGGTTTTAGTTATCGACATGTTGGCTGGTCTTTAGACATTTGATTGGCATATTGTGCCAACTATTCCGAGAAATTGCATTGCACAAAGACTACACGCATCTGCCGTGGAAGCCGGTTTCTCAGAGGCGCGTTTCCTCCAAACTACGACTTTACCGACATTCGCCGCTGACGAGCTGCTTTCAATTAGCTTTGATTTGCATCGACAGACACATTTCATCTTTGAAAGATACTAGGAACATAGAAGCATCCGACGGCCGGTTTCTGACAGCACTGGCTGGCAGTGTCTCGCGCCTCCTCGATAAGCGTGACGATGACATTTACGGTCCCGCCCCGCCTGCCTCTCTCATTTCGCCACCCCCCTCCACCCCCCCCCCCCCCCGGTCGGCCGCGGTGGGCGTGTTACGACGGTGGCGATGCCGCTCGGGCTGCCTGGCGTCGATCCCGGCCCCAAATGGAGCTGGTTCCCGACAGACAGCCGCGGCCGGTGTCAGTCTGTTACTGCGGCCGGCCGTGTCTGTTATTTGACCTGCCATTCTGTCCTCCGGGTCTGTTACATTTGTCTGGGTTATCGTCTTCCATGGTTGATAGTCTCTGTTTGGCTGCTCGAGTTAGTTCATTCACGGCTCGCATCTATTGCTTTAGTATCAACTAGTTCATAGCCGTTTTCTCGACGGGCTGGCTTGCGAATTCACCTAATTATACCAAATCTGCATCAAATCTCTTTTACAACAAATATCTTCATATCATATATTTATTTCAATCTTTAATATAAAATAACGTCTGATAATTTGCAAAAAAAATGAGGTCAATAAGTATCTGTGCAACCCAAACTGACAGATTTTAAGAAACACACTGAGCCTGGTTTGGCCAAATCTACACCAAATCTGCACCCACTATGCACCAAACGTGTACCAGATGGCCGTCGTGAAAACGGCTAATGACTGTCCCTTGGCGCAGTGTAGATGAAGGTGCAGAAAGTACGATACGCACTATTGGGATTTTGGTTAGATATAAATGTCGAGTATCATCGGTAGTCGATTATCGGGTGTGATTTACTCCCCAGCTTCTTTTAGGTAGTGACATTTTGAGTGCCACTGTCTCTTTTTTGACATTGCGGTACTTGATGTGTCGATATCTCCCCCCCCCCCTCCACGTTTTCAGTAGCAGCCGTGTTTTTTTTTAGGAAAAACACTGATCTCAGATGCTGAAGATTTGCTATGCCGTCTATGAACAATGATGTCTGCAGCACATTCAGTTTTCTGCTCCCCTGTAGCTCTAGAAAGGCCCGCTTTGGGAAATCATCGAGCCCTTCTGCCACCGTAAATATTCACCAAGCGCCATGTTTGTGCTACATCCAACTCTCTGGAAACTGAATAAAGCTGAACAACGGACAACCAAATTCGTTGAACAGTCACATGAATGAGACAGCTCTGAAAGATGTCTGGGATCGTTGCTGCTCAGTAGTCCATGTGAACGTTATTGCAGCTTCTAATTTTATCTGATTTTATCAACAGTTCTTGGAAACGCGAAGTTCCGTGACTAGTAGGCCTCCAAAAGTCCAAAAGTCCAGACTGTGCGCGGATTTCGATGTTCCGCGGCGTCCGCGCCTCCCCGGCTTCCCTGCCGGCTCGGCTGCCTGCAGGGTAGACTGTGCCGCAGGACAGGGCAGCCGCCGGGTCTGCCTGCCTCCCAGGCGGCCGCTGCGCAGCCAGCCTGGGTATCGCCGAGTCGGAGCGGGTCGCAGCGGGAGCGAATATCGTCCCTGTGATCGATGGCGAGCCGTAATGTGAAAACAGAACTAGATGAACGAATGGAGCCGTCAGCGGCCGGCGCTGGCGGCGCGCTCATTTGTCGGTGGCTTTGCGGGCAAGTGGGGAAGCTGTACTCTGACTTCCCAGGGATGACTGATGCCGATGTTGGTGATTGATACCTTGGGCCAGGGTCGTCTGAAAGAAAAAAAAATGGAAGAAGACGAGGGAGAAAAATAAGAGTGAGAAAAAGGGAGAGAGCGAGAGAGAGAGAGAGAGAGAGAGAGAGAGAGAGAGAGAGAGAGAGAGAGAGAGAGAGAGAGAGGGGGAGAGAGAGAGATAAGCAGGGAAAGGGAAAGCTAATGATAATGTAGCGAAAAATCAAAACATATAATGCAGACAAGTAGAGGAGCATAGAGAAACTTAGAAAGGTGGCAAGATCTGCGGCTGGCTGGTGCCGTCTCTGTAGCCGTTTATGCCACTACCACCGCCGCCGTCGCCGCGAACGGCGATGGTGGTCGGACCGAGAAGGTCACTGGATAATCGGGGGTCGGAAACGGCAATCATCTGATATATCTGTCAGAGCGCCGTACCGCCGGCGGCGGCCCGGACTGTCACCGGCGCGGCTGCGCCGACCCGAGGGAGGGGGAGGAGTTTCTCTGTCACACGGGCTTCCATTTTGGTCCGCCTTGCTCGCTAAATACGGTTGGCCTTATCCGATGGAATAGAGCAACATTTTAGTATACATTGGACGTGCCGTGATTTTTCCCTCCTCTTTCCCGTCTTTTTCTTTCTCTTTTTTTTCTGTCTTTGCTTTTCCTTTATTTTTCCCATTTTCTTT